TATTATACATGAGATCAAATACATGAGATCATATTATACATGAGATCATATTACACATGAGATCATATTACACATGAGATCATATTACACATGAGATCATATTACACATGAGATCATATTATACATGAGATTATATTATACATGAGATCGTATTATACATGAGGTTGTATCATACATGAGGTTGTATTACACATGAGGTTGTATCATATATTACACATGAGGTTGTATTACACATGAATAAATACTGTAAATGGTTTTCAATTGACAAAATGCAACTTATAAAATAACTATATTTTCTTCTCGCTCTTGGATACAAAGAAGCAGTTGGGCAATCATTAGTGTGCAAAACAAAACTTTTTACATAAAATTAAACCTGTTAAAACCCAATGTAAATTATTAAAAACTTTTAGATATAAAATGTGCAATAACTTCTAAGTAGTATGAAACAAAAAAGTACATAATAGTATATTCATTTTCTTTCCTGTGTTGACACATGCAGCCATACAGTCATGGAGTATTTCTGTGTGTTGACTGCTGTTAGTGGGCTGCTTTGTTACCATTTCACAGGTTAGTGGCCTTTGCATGGTGTCACAGCTGATGGACACTCACCCACTCAGCTGCTTCATTCTTCATGACACACTTCACATTTGAAATGCCAAGCCTGAAATAGTCTGTTCTGTTTATAGCTGAGCCGAACAGGATGGTTTTCTTCTGTCTGAGGATGTAGCAGGATCCAACACTCGATCTGTGTGAGCCGTCTGCACAACACAAACCATCTCTGTCAGCCAATCAGAGCTGATGGTATAAAATGAGAGAGGACCAAAGTTTTACCAGGCTGGGCRGATAATTGCTGGGTGGATGTTTAAAACTGTTCCAGAGGAGGGTGGAGCTCCATGTGTAAAGTTTATTCAACATTTAGTCTCGTCTGCTTYGAGATGAACCAAGTTCTGCAGAAGCTGTGGACCTTTGGAAGACAAGCAGAGACATTGTTGTTTACWGTTTGATCTTTTCTGTGCTCAGAGGTCAACATGAAGCTGAAAGAAGAGTTTCTGCACATGGTTCAGGAGGTGTGGTCAAAACTGCAGGGACTTCCACAAGCAAGTCCTCTGGAGCTGGGAGCCTTCTTCATCCTCATCCTCTTTGTTGGTGAGTTGGTTGTCAGCACTCAGAGTTACAGTTATTAAAAATGGACAAAAGGGACAAAAATATCAGAAAAAAATGATCTAGTCTTTATCAGGTTCTTAAATTATTCAAATCTAACCTCTAGTCCCTGTAAAAACAGACATGTCCACAAACGTCTGCCCAGACACACAACACTTTCTGCACACTTCTGTGGGACAAAGTTTGGCCTTTAGTTGTGTGCAGAAAGATACTTTGTGTCCAAAATTACCCAGTTTTTGTCATGTTAGTGAGCCAATTTCACAGGTTCAGATGACTTTAGTTCTGCACTTCTGAGAGTTGTTAGGGTCACATGTCTGTCACATGTCTGTCACATGTCTGTCACGTGCCTGTCACGTGTCTGTCACATGTCTGTCACATGCCGGTCACATGTCTGTCACATGTCTGTCACATGCCAGTCACATGTCTGTCACATGTCTGTCACATGCCGGTCACATGGCTGTCACATGTCTGTCACATGTCTGTCACATGTCTGTCACGTGCCTGTCACGTGTCTGTCACATGTCTGTCACATGCCGGTCACATGTCTGTCACATGTCTGTCACATGTCTGTCACATGTCTGTCACATGCCTGTCACGTGCCTGTCACATGCCTGTCACATGTCTGTCACATGTCTGTCACATGCCTGTCACGTGC